CGCCCGTTACAACTCATAAAGTTGGTCAACAGCATGCCAATGTGAGACAACAGAATAGCTCAGCAGAGACCAAACCAGTGGTCAGGAGAATTGAGAACAGTGAGCCAATCATCTTTGACTTGAGGGAAAGAGGTGATACGCCAGAAAGTCAGGGAATCAGAGTGGTCCACTTCTACATTGGAGATGATGATGATGATGATGATGATGATGAGCCATAATTCCAGGAAGTTGAGGAGATTGACATCTCAGATGATGAACCCATGGTGAGGAGACTTAAGCAATTGGGGAAGAGAATGAGGATGTGGACAGCAATATTGACCGTGGAGCAGATGTAGCATTATTCCCTTTGAGTATGGCAGATCGTGGGGAGGAGAACTACAATTCAGCACAAAGACCCAGCTACAATATTCACAGGGAAATCGTATCCCCACAGGAGGTGCGAAAAGTGTTGAAAATTCCTTGCATGAGCTTTGACTTTTGCTAGTTGCAATTGACAGCCAGACTGGATTCATTCATGTTGCGCCATGCGGAAGCAAAGGCAAATTTCGTCTCATTGCACGGAGTTGATGAATTTCAGTCAATTGCTGGGGTATTCAGCAATCACCTATAGGAGGCACAATGAACCCGCAACAAGACAAATCCTCAAGATGCTGATCAATGCTTGCCACAGTCTAGGACTCACTACCAGATTGGTCAACTCAAAGCTAGGAGATCATTCATTTCTGTCAGGGAACACAGTTGACAGAGTGAGAAAACTTGCAGGAACATTCATTGAAGGTATGCAGTCAAGACTTGGGTATCAAGATTGGATAAGATCATGCACTGTGGACTTGGGCAGCAAGACATCCCAGTTGGGTGTAGGTTTCAGCCAGTCAAAGGTGCAACTCCCTATGAACTTGTCTATGGCAAAAGCTACAGAGGACTTCTAGCAGAATATGGAGAACACGTTCATGATTACATCAAGAGCCTCAACAAAGGAGCAAGATGGCACCTATGCTTGTTCTTGGGAAAAGTTGAAAGGCAAGACACCCGCGTGCTTACAAATGGAGTGCAGGTGGTGCTCAGCAAGTGCATCAGAACAGATCAAGATTGGTTCACAAAAACCTGAGCCATCGACTTGGCCAAGGAGGCGGCTTGAGTGTGTAGGTCAAGAGGTAGTGCGGGATCAGCAGAATCTTGAGGCTCCTCAAAGGTCATCACATAGGCAGTGGAAGCCTGTAGATGGTGATGTAGTGCTTTGAGAATGGCCTGCGCAGAAGGAGTCGTGTACTTGGCCGCATCGGCTGCACGGCCGTTGATGAGCCATTGATGCTGATGATCGCCTGCACAACGATGTCGGTGAAGATTCTTGACCAATGGATAGAGGTTTGTGACCAAGAAGGTCGCTTTCTTCCCTGCAAAGCCTTGAGGTGACCAAAGCAAAGGTGCCATAGACATCTGGTCTGGCTAGTAGGCGTAGAAGTCGAGGATGTTTCCAGCTCGTAGCTTTTCGAGGATGAAGTCCTTCTGCGCGTTCTCGACGAACCGTATTGGGCGGTCTTTTGTGGTCAGAAAGAGTGCGCAGGGTTGAGAAGGTAGTGCAAGGTGGACTCAAAAGGAGTAGCGCTGGCCGATGTAGTCTGACCAACTTCAAGGCTTGAGCTCGATCTTGAGGAAGTCGGAAATCAAAACCTGTGACCAAGTCTAAGGCTTCGCCAATGTGCCATGGTGGTCTCACTTTGTTCTTCCAGTTCTGCTTCTGGGCTTCCAGCGTCTTGGTGGGCTGTAAATTTCCATAACATCAACTCCATGCTTGTCGTTGAGGCTCCTCTCAATGAAGATTGACGCCGCGTGGGATGGTTTTGGCATGTTGATTCGAGTCAAGATCATGAGCCAAGGAGCTTGTGGTGCATGTAGCTGGATATACCCAACAAAATGAAGGGTATTGGCATGCAAAAACTTGAAGAAAACCATCTGTCTCTGAATTCCATCGCGGCTGCTGCCATGTTTCATTCTTCTCCTCAGTGCAAAAGAAAAGGTGGGTCGGCTGGCCCAAAAGGCAAGGAAGGTGCTCAAAACAGTGCTTCCAGTTCTGTGCATCCGTGAACTGGCAGGTAAACTTGTCCCCAATGTAGTGCTCACCGGTAGACCGGTAG